GAAGCGGGCAGGCTCGGGGGGGCCGCCCGAGGGTCCTTTCCCTTTGCTTTTCAGTCAGCTGTGGGATCTCCAGCGAGCGGCTTTTGACGTGGGGTGGGGTTTTTCTCTTGTGTTTGGCCTCGCTGCCCTCTTGCTCATCTGGGAACGTTAGGTGCTTTCCTGCAGTCGGGGGAAACCCGCGCGGGCTTCCCCGCGCCCTTGTGGGCGAATTCCGGCGGCGCCGCTTCCTGCCGGCGGCGCCGAGCTCGGCCTCGGCCGGGGCCTCCCTGCAGGGTCAAAGAGCTGCGTTTTCCCGGCGGTGACTTCAAACATCTTTCTCCCAAGGGGAGTTACGAGTGCGCGGGAAAAGCAGTTAGTGCGGGACAACCTCTAAGCGCAGAACTGCCTTTCTTGGCAGTTTGCTAGCAGAGCTGCCCCAGCAGAAGTCTGCCACAGATGGAGCTTCCCGGTGGGATTTGGATTTGCTACCTCCCAGCCAGGACTTGCATCCACACAGTGGTTTAACCCTTTCTCCATACTTCTGGCAGAAGATGCAAGTTAATGTAACTGTTTCCTCTTTCTGCTGTAGCATGCGAGAGGGGCCCATGGTGACTAATTAAAGATTCCAATCATTAAAATGACAGCCGAAAGAGAATATGAATTCCACTGGAATGATTTAAGGCATTATCTGTGCGTAAAGAAATCTGAAAAATTTCCACAAAGGGACCAGAATACTGCCTGGGCTTATAAATGGCCCGGCACAATCACAATCTCACTTTGCCAATACAAAAAAAAAAAGAGAAAATGCAGGGTGAAAAAGCCCCGCTTTATGCATATGTGAGGACAGAATGATATAAGGCATTTACACAAGTGAGAAGTGAAGAGCAAAAATAAAAGGAAGTGTAACCGAACAGCACATTATGACACTAGTGGGTAATTTTTTGTTACAGACTGTTCCAGTAAAGGGAATTACAAAAGACTCATTCATACATACATACTTCAAAATTCTTTCAAATTTCCTGTCATACATGATGCTGTTGGTCATCTGACAAATTTCAGACATCTAATTGTAATAAGATAGCACTATAACACCATTTAACTTGACTTTGTTTAATTGTTAACATAAGGGGGAAAAAAAAAAGTTGTTTGGGGAGTTAATGGACACACAAACTTTACTAAATCAATGACGAGTCATTTTAAGGGAGTCTCTGATACCGAGAAGGCAACACTAAAACTTTTAAGTATTGAGTCAGATCTCCAAATACCAGACCTGAAGAGTTCTGAAGTGTGGAACTGGACGTTCCCTGGACCTAGTCCTATTGAGCATTGCATAAGGAAGTGAATTTTATGTATGTGTCCGTGGTTTAAATTGCAGTCAATCACTTGCCTTTCATTGAGCCAGGTGATATTGTTCGCAGCTTCTGGGTTTCAAGCAGGAACCTCCAAAGAAAGTTGTCTTTACTTTATAGATTATGAAGTTTCTTGCTTTTTACCCTACCTTCTCCCAAACTTAATTCAGTGTTCCTCCTTAACTCAATGGTTTCTTAGTAGAAACTCAATAGAAATAATAGATCCCTCCCTGCTCCACTCCACCCCTAGCCATGTATCTGCGTACACTTTGACCTCCTCCCAGTTTGGCAATACACACTGCTCTTTCCTCCCCTCCTAGGCCTCCAGGCAAGCAGTTTCGGGCCACTTCATGTTGCAATGAGGAGGAAGGGAGGGGAAGGAACAAAGAGGGGGCTAAAATACTTATAATAGCCGGAAAAGGAGCATAGCTTCCCTGAGCTGCCAGGCTCTTTCCGATTCCTTCATGCAGCAGCTTCCCCAGTTCTCCATTCCCAATAGTGACTTCACCTTTCATGAGAAAGAGATACCGGGGACTTAGCAGAAATGATGGATGGTCTTTGTTCAGAGGGCCATGAAGTAAAAAGGTAACGAAGGTTCTTCTCTTCTCTTTTCCTTGGAAATTCCCAAGGATAATGCACTTTCTTCAGTATCCTGAGTCTGGCTTCCGCATGGAACTAAAATAGTTCCCTAGAGGAGAGAGAGGTTGTGTTTTGGTCATAGCCAAGTTGAAGGCAGAGGGCAGATGCTTTGGCTTGGGTTCTCACACTGTGGTCGGACTGCTCTGTGGGCATGATTCAGCCCATTCAGCTATACCAAGTTCCAAGGATAGGTGCTTAACCTGAAAAACTGTGGGTTTTCCAAACTAGGACAAAACACTGTGCTTTGCAGATTCTTTCCTCTGGAAAGGGGGAGGAGGGTTGTATTCACATAAAGTTCTTAACCAAAAGAGAATTTGCTTTCTTAAGAGTCCCATGAAATCACAGAGGTCACAGTGTGTTTTAAGAGTGTGACTACCACATTATCAGTGTTCATCACAACAAGCTTAATGGCATTATTCAGAGTGTGACTACCACATTATCAGTGTTTATCACAACAAGCTTAATGGCATTATTCTGAAACATTATTACTGAAACAGCAAAGGTGATAGAGCAAATTTCTGAAGGTTTATGTGTTCACATGAGTACCCAAGATAAATAGGATAGACAGCACTGATATCTGAAAATCTGAATATCTGAAACAGGTTGTTTTCTTCTAAGA